CAAAGAGGAAAGGTCTCATAGCCATGCGCCAAACGTTTCTGGGAACTACCGTATTTTTCGCTCTATAAGACGCACCAGACCACAGGACGCACCTAATTTTTGCAGAAGGAAAACAAGAAAAAAAAAATTCTGAATCTCAGAAGCCAGAACAGCAAGAGGGATCGCTGCGCAGTGAAAGCAGCAATCCCTCTTGCTGTTCTGGCTTCTGTGATAGCTGCGCAGCCTGCATTCGCTCCATAAGACGCACGCACATTTCCCCTTACTTTTTAGGAGGGAAAAAGTGAGTCTTATAGAGCAAAAAATACGGTAGCTTAGCTTTGTAGGAGAACTGCAGGTTGGGTCTTGATTTGGACGTAGGATTTCCTGATTTAGGGAAGGATGAGATAGTGGTGGCGCGTGTCGTGCATGGTGCATTGGGTGGTGGTCAGCGGAGAGGCGATGCCCCCGCCCTAACTGACACCTCCCCCCCCCTCCCCTTTGAATTCTGCAGCCCCTCATTTGGACCAGCCGTGTTGCAAGGCGCTGTATGACTTCGAGCCGGAGAACGACGGCGAGTTGGGATTCAAGGAGGGCGACATCATCACGCTGACCAACCAGATCGACGAGAACTGGTACGAGGGCATGATCAACGGCCAGTCGGGCTTCTTCCCCCTCAACTACGTGGAAGTTCTGGTCCCGCTACCTCAGTGAAGGGGGACACACACAAACATACCCCCCGCTCTCAAGCCGACCGCTTCCGTTCTTCCTATTCCTTCCTCTCCCGCCCCTTCTCTCCGCGGCCTCCCGTCCACCTTTGCACACCGACAGGGGGGGCGAAAAAGAGAGAGGCTGTGGGCGCACTCCTCCTCCCCACCCCTCAAACTTACATTCCATGTGGTATATATACCCAACACTAATCCCCGTCCAGCAAGCAGGAATGTGTGTGTGTGTTTTTTGGGGGGTAACTGTGCTCCTATCAGTATCCCGGCCTGGCAGAGGTGATGGGAGCTAAGGTGTTTGAGTGGGGCATTGCACAAGCTGACCCTCCTGTCTCCTCTCTCTCTCTCTCTCTCTCTCTCTCTCTCCTCTGCCCACCTGCCCATTCTTTTCCGGGGCCTGGACCCAAGCGGGGGCCCTGTGCTTTGTACACGACGGCCTTCCCGTTTTGGTTTGCGATCTGGGCTCTCCTTAACGGCCCTGCCTTGGTTGCGGTTTTTTTTTGTCTCTCCACCCCGAGCGAAGCACACACTGCCCACAGCCCCATTGTAGGGGGAGGCAGGCAGCTGCGATTGTCCGAGTCGTCTTCCTTGCGCAATTGCAGAAGTCACCAGGCTGGCCTGGGGAACAGCCCTCTGCGGCAGCGTGTGTGTGTTTGTGTGTGTGTGTGTGTGTGTCTTAGAAGCACAAAGCAGCTCAACGAGATGAGAAGTCACAGCCTTTTGCCGCGGGCCTGGCTCGTGTGAAACACTACCAGAGATCTTCTCCTTTCCTCCTCGTACCCGGGGCACTTGCACCATTAGGAACACGTCTGATCCCTTTCAAAATTTAAAACCCCTTTTTAAGTCATCTCAGGGTGTCTCTTCTCCCCCACCCCCAGGCTTGGTTTGGAGCAAAAATTGGGAACGTAACCTGTGCACTAACACTGGACGGTGTCGGTTTAAAGGCACGTTCCCCCCTTTCATGGTTTTCTGAAAAGAGTGTGCAAGTCCCAGAGGCGTAGCCCCACCTCCCCAAATAACTTGGCCACAGCTGGCCAGCTAGGCGTTGCCCTCTCTGTTCTCCGATTGCCTGACATTGCACCAGTTTTCCCCCATCTTCCTTGCTGGGGAGGGGGTCACCGTTCCCCTGGCAACATGTTTTTAAGGGACCAGGCTGGCTCACTTTCAAAAGTGTGCGAACAGCTTCCGGGAAGCCATCAGGTCTTCTGCGAAAAACCTCGCCTTACCGCCGCAACGGACCAGGCCTCCTCTTGCCTCAGACCCAGTTGCAGGACCTTCTAAGCACACGACCCTCCGTGCGTTTTCTGTCCCCGCTCTATGTGCCTTGTCCCCTGCTTCCTCTCGAACGCTGGGTTCCAGTTCGGAAAGAGAGGAGGGGAGCGATTTGTACTCTTCCAGACCCCCCATCCCTTTATTCCAAGCCGATGTCTCCAAAATACGCCTCTCCCTTTTGTAGTCCTCTGGCTTCCAGGCTCCGTCGATTCCCTCTAGGATTTTCAGTAGTCCTCTTGCTCGTCGCTGCTCTGGCCAAAGAGTTTTGGGGGGGCCGGGTGTCCCAGAATGCGTTTTCCAATAAGCCTCCTTAGCTGCACTGCCTCAGTTTCCGGACTGTAAAGTAAGGGGGTGCCTTGCAGATGTTGCTAGTCTCCACCTCCCATCAGGCCAGCAGTGATGAGTCGGGAGTTCAGAAACATCTGGGCGGCGCCCCTGTTTAGCTACCCCTGCATACAAGGTGCGGCAGTCTTACAGAAGCAGTCCTCCGGGGGGGGGGGGAGTCAGACTGGGAGATAGTGAGGCCCAAACACCAGCCCACCGCCTCAAAACGGCCCCCAGTTATCGTTTAGAGGGACAGGGTTTGTGTTCCTGCGAGTCCACGATCCCAAAACTGAGCCGTCGCCTAAGCCAAAGGGTCTGCACTGAGAATCACCCACGTCGAAACCAGCATAGAAGTGGATGCAGAGAAGCCCAGGAGGCTTCACTTAGAGGGGAGATATTGGGGGGTGGAGCATCTTTACCAAAGGGCACCCTGGGGCAGCGTCCCCTGATGCTTGCCTTTTTTTCCTCCCTGACGCACAAGCTTTCTACATGCGGGGAGATTTTCTCTATACACCGTTCAAAAAACCCGTCCCTCCCGATAAGCAGCCGATAAATCTGCAGTTTGGTGGTGAAAGCCCATTCTCCAAATTATATCAGAGGCACGAGGCCAGACAACGCAGCTGCAGTTCAATTTTTGTTTTGTTGTGTGAGGTACGGCGTTGGACCACGGCCTTGCGAAGGACGCAGGCGTGTTGCCTGAGCCTCCTTTGGGTGGGTGGGTGCAGGCACTCCCCGCCCCGACACTTCTGGTTACAGGGGAAGGGGCAGGCACACCCAGCCCCCAAACAAGGCATCCGTCGTGATTGTCTTCCTACACTCCCCTCTCAAATGTATACCGTTCCACTTGGCGTTCCCGTCCAGCAACAGAGAGGACGTATGGTTTCTGTGCTCCTCAGCCCCCAAAACCCCGTGCCCCCCAGTTCAGTATTGAGGCTGCGGCGAAAAGCAATAGTTGGGCCAGCTTCTCCCAGCTCTGCAAACGCCCTTCCGTAATTCTTCCCTGTCTTCCCAATGTCTTCATGCTCTTCCACTGCGGGGCAGTGGGACTAAACACAGTTTTGAGGGGCCGGGTGCGTTTACGGTTCTGCAGTCTGCTCCTTCCCCCACAACCCTTCGTTTCTTTGCTGGGGGTGGTCGGCAGAGGCAGCTATTCCCTTCCTCTTTCCAATCCCAGCCGCTCAAAGGGCTCTCAGGATTTCACACACACATCCATGGCGTTTCAGGCAGGTGGGCAGAAGGCCATTGCTCTGGCTTTCCACCTGGGGGTGGGGGAGGCTCTGGGTTCAAGTGCACAAAAGGACTCTCTCTTGGGAACCCCCTCTGTTTTGCCAGGGGGCCCTGGCAGCAATCCTAGCCGCCATCTCTTGTTTTTCACAATGCACCAAAACAACATTGCAAATGATTTTGGGGAGTGCGATGGAGGGAGGGCTCTGCTGGGATTTAAAAGGGGGCTGGACCCAACTCTCTGGCACAGCTGGTGCTACCAAGAAGCACCCAGGACCGTTGCGCACCGAGGATCCGTGGTGCCGACCCCCGGGGGGGGGGCAGTTGGCAGAGGACCACGACAAAGTGGTGGACGGACCCAGCCTGTACCTATGAATTGTGGGGGTTGGGGTTGGGTTTCCTGACCCTCCACCCACCCTCTCAGAAATAGCCATTTGTCTTTGTCCGTTTTCCCTTTCCTTCCCCCCGACATTTCTCGTGCACATTCTATTTATATAGGTATATCCCAGCCAACGTATTCATAGTTAATTTCTCTTCCTTGTCCAGCGAGTGTCGGGGTTTGGAGAGGGCTGGCTTTTGTCCACGATCGCCTCTCCTACAAGCTGCTTTAGGTTTTTATTCCCCCCCTTTCACTGTCCTAACTTCAATATCCCGTTTAAATATTGTTGTAATATCCACACACACCCTCTACGCATTCATATAGTAAGATAATGTCATACGTTTCCCCCCTGACGTGACTCCCAAGGTATCGTCTGGCTGGAGTGAAAAGTTTGGTAGTCCATGTCTTCAGAACCTTTCTTCCTGCCCTTCCCTAAATTCACTAAGAAGCTATTTTGGGGTTCCAGACCCAATTGTGTGATGTGTGTGAGGCTGTTTTGCACCCCAGACTTCTGTTCTCTCCTTTCCCTTCTTCCTCACCCTAAATATTTACCAGGACCACAGGAAGAACAAGCGAAACAAAACAAAAAAAATATTGGGGAAGGGGCTTTGTAAATACTGGCTTTTTAATCTGTAGCATTGTCACGCCAGGGCATAATCTCTGGCGCTTGTTCCGTTGGAGTGAAGCAAGTCTCTCTCTCTCTCTCTTTACTTACTCTGGACAATTTTATGTGGGGGTGGGCATGGGAAACACATCTTATTTTGTTCTTGTTGATGGGTTTATTCTCTCCTTTCTGTTTTGGAATAAAAAAACACACGAAAAACCTTGTATCCTTGAAATAAAAAAGTATTAAATGTTTGAAGGCAGTGGGTTGTTGTTGTTTTTTGTTTCTCCTTTTGATTTTGGCGCCGTTCCTTTGTACCATTTAAAAGAGGAATGGGGATCCTGCGGGATGTCAATGGACTCCCATCTTCCCCAGCTGGCCAGCAAAGCCATTCATCAGGCATAATGGGATTTGTAGTCCCAACAGGGCCAGGTTCAAGGGGTTGCTCTTGGTACACGAAGCCTCATTTGTGGGTTTGTCATTCTTTTTTCCCCTTTCTAAAAAATTTCAATTGCATATTTCTGTAGAAATGTGGGTAACTGAATTTGGAAAACTGCAGGCAGCAGATTCATTCAAAACTTTAGGGTTGGTTTTTTGGTTTTTGCACCTGGTAGCCAACTTCTCTTTGGGGGGGAGAAGGAAACCCCCTCCAATAATTTATCTAAATCCTCCTTCAAAGTTTGGCACCTTGGTGGCATCACTAATCTATGTGCTGTCTGAACTACTTTCCTTAGTCTCTCCTGAATCTTCCAATATTCATCTTCATTGTCACCAAGTGCTAGGATTATGAAGGAGGGAGGAGAGAGCAAACTCTCTCCCCCAATCGACATTCTCTTCACCACACATCATTTTGCAACCCTCTGGCTTGCTTCCCCCCTAAGCTAAAAAGCCCCAAAAGCCATGGAAGGCAACGACCCAAACCAGCAGCTTCAAATGAAAAGAGCTGTAGTCTAGCTTTCGTGGGTTTGTCATTCTAAAGGATTCAATCACAGGCGACTCCCCGTTTACGCGGGGGTTACGTTCCTGGCTCCTGCATGCGTAAGGGAAATTGCAGGAAATGGAGAGCACACTGGAGAGTCATCCTGGCACGGGAGGAGACCCACCCCATCCTGGAGAGGGCTGCTTATGAGCCAGACGATTAGCAGAGCTTTGTTGAGCTGCTTCGCCTCCCTGCTTAACAGCTGACATGTGGGGTAGCGCAGCAGCAGTTGCCAAGGAAGCCAAAGCCCAGCTTGTCCGGAGACCCTCTCCAGAGCCCAAAGAGGACATCCTCTAGGCTCTGGGAAGGGTCTCCTCGTGAGCCAGAGGCTTGTTGAGGCTGTTCAGCAAAGGCCTACCGATGCACAGGGAAGCTGAGCGGGTCAAGCAAGCCCTCGCATGGAGCCGGAGGGACAGTGGAGGCCCGGTTGACCAAGTGCCCCTCCTTTCTGGGTACCACTTGGCAAACAGAACACGTGTCAGCAGGGAGTTGCCTGTACATTCAACAACAACAAGAACTGGGACGGAACTGCCCCATCCCCAGCAGAGGCTGACCAGAGGGAGGCCAGGGCAGGACTGTACATCGGAAAGAGATGCAACAGGCAAATCTCCTCCTGGGGCAGTTTCTTCTGCAGAGCAGTCGGAACCAGTTTGCTGGGATTCCCAGCTCTGGTCATTCCTGTCAGGAGTCCAGAAACATCTGGAGCATCACAGCTTCCCTACCCAAGAGCCACAGGAACAGATCGATGCACAGCTGCTTTTAAGGAACGCAGTAAGGACAAAGCACAGGACGGGTGGCGCTATGGGTTAAACCACAGAGCCTAGGGCTTGCCGATCAGAAGGTCGGCAGTTCAAATCCCTGCGATGGGATGAGCTCCCGTTGCTCGGTCCCTGCTCCTGCCAACCTAGCAGTTTGGAAGCACGTCAAAGTGCAAGTAGATAAATAGGTACCACTCCGGCGGGAAGGTAAACGGCGTTTCCGTGCGCTGCTCTGGTTCGCCAGAAGCGGCTTAGTCCTGCTGGCCACATGACCCGGAAGCTGTACGCCGGCTCCCTCGGCCAATAAAGCGAGATGAGCGCCGCAACCCCAGAGTCGGCCACAACTAGACCTAATGGTCAGGGGTCCCTTTACCTTTAAGGACAAAGCAAGATTTTCACCAACCTGCCGCAACCCTGCTTTTACGCAAAGTAAGCTTCCGTCCTTTTTAGCTGCCTTTTTACTCGGTTTTTGCTGCTTCTACAGATCCGTGAAATTTTTTAGAAAGGCAACACCACCCTGCCCTCTTTTTTTAAATCTGCTCTCTTACCAGCTCAGACACACACACCCGAAACATTGGAGGCCGTAGGCGAGTTTCTCCCCACCCTTCACAGCACGAAACATAAGACGAAACTAGAGAGTTGCGGGCATCCGTTCCGTCTCGGAAAACCTCAAGAGGAGGTCAGCGGTGTCGACCAGCGCGCAACACTCTGCTGGATTGAATTCGAGATCTACCAAGGGGTCCTTTTGAGGCCTCGCAAGCCAAGTTGCTTCAGTCGACCATCTATGAAATGGGTGTGTTCTGTCCCATGACGCCAAGCCCAGTACAGGGGAACAGATAGCTTCTCTAGCTAGGCAAATCAAAGCATGTTCTTGACTGGTCCAGTGTTTCCTCTTAAACTCGTGAAAAACCTTTCTTAAACACACACACACAAAGGGTCTCCATTTCCGTCTCCATCAGCCAAGCAAGATGGGGCAGAACTGGGTTTCAAAGTGGAGGGGGGAAGCTTCTCACTCAAAGGTCTTTCCCCAACCCCGACCGACAGCTTCTTGAAGACATGGTTCCTCCTCCTGGTTTCAGCCGTATTGCTTGAGGATGCTGTATACTTGTTCCAGGATATGTCCGAAACCTTGGTCCTTGGGTGTCCTGGAAGCCAATGAGCCCTGCAAGGAGAGAATAGCGGCGTTCGTCATTCGAACAGGCATGGCACTGGGACCGAAAGTGAGCCTCAGCAGCTTGCTAAATGCAAGTAGACCAAAAAAAATGGCTTCTCCCTTGCACAGCCCACCCACAAATCGCCGTGTGATACTTTCTCTGCCTCTCTAATTCTTACTAAATTTTTATGTTTCACAATTTAAAATAATAATTTATTATTTATACCCCGCCCATCTGGCTGAGCTTCCCCAGCCACTCTGGGCGGCTTCCAACAAAATATTAAAATACAGCAATCCATCAAACATTAAAAGCTTCCCTAAACAGGGCTGCCTTCAGATGTCTTCTAAAAGTCTGGTAGTTGTTGTTCTCTTTGACATCTGGTGGGAGGGCGTTCCACAGGGCGGGCGCCACTACCGAGAAGGCCCTCTGCCTGGTTCCCTGTAACTTGGCTTCTCGCAGCGAGGGAATTACCTCAGTGTCCAGGCTGGACGATGGGGGTGGAGACACTCCTTCAGGTATACTGGGCCATTTAGGGCTTTCAGGATCAGTACCGAGCCTTTGAATTGTGCTCGGAAACGTCCTGGGAGCCAATGTAGGTCTTTCAGGACCGGTGTTATGTGGTCTCGGTGGCCGCTCCCAGTCCCCAGTCTAGCTGCTGCATTCTGGATTAGCTGCAGTTTCCGGGTCACCTTCAAAGGGAGCCCCATGGAGAGCGCATTGCAGTAGTCCAGATCACCAGAGCATGCATAACTAGAGACCTGTGGAGTCGGAAGGGACCCCTGAGGGTCATCCAGTCCAACCCCCTGCAACACAGGAATCCCAGTATAACGAATGCCCACCCAACTCCTGCCTGAAAACCTCCAAAGAAGGAGACTCTTACCACCTTCCCTGGAGGTCCGCTCCACTACCGGGCAACTCTTCCTTGAGATTACCTTTAGTTTATCCAAATAGGTCTGCTCCTGGCTCCACATCTCTTGAAACTTCACTACGTCGGGCGCCGCCTTGTAAAACTCCACCAGCAGCATCTGTGAGGAAGAAAGAACAATTGAATATAAATATAGATGGGAAACGGCTATGTATAGTGAATAGTTATCTACTTTTAAAAATTTTCACCTATGATCCTTTTCTTTTACTTTATTTTTTCTTTGTTCTTTTTTCTTTTTTCTGATATCTTTCATTTCACTCCTTTATTGTGAATAGCATTTTATAGAGGTATAAAGGTAAAGGGACCCCTGACCATTAGGTCCAGTCGTGACCGACTCTGGGGTTGCGGCGCTCATCTCGCTTTACTGGCTGAGGGAGCCGGCGTACAGCTTCCGGGTCATGTGGCCAGCAGGACTAAGCCACTTCTGGCGAACCAGAGCAGCGCACGGAAACGCCGTTTACCTTCCCGCCGGAGCAGTACCTATTTATCTACTTGCACTTTGACGTGCTTTCGAACTGCTAGGTGGGCAGGAGCAGGGACCGAGGAACGGGAGCTCACCCCATCACGGGGATTCGAACCGCCGACCTTCTGATCGGCAAGTCCTAGGCTGAGTGGTTTAGACCACAGCGCCACCTGTGTCCCTTATAGAGGTATAAATAACTGTAAATATGAAAAGAGGCAGAATTTAATTTCCAGAATTTAAAATGAACAAATCTGTCAGCTGGCAGTAAGACAAAAATGAAGAAAGGTTTCAAATTACTTTAAAAGAAAATAACTTTACAGTGGCACCTCGGGTTAAGTACTTAATTTGTTCCGGAGGTCCGTTCTTAACCCGAAACCGTTCTTAACCTGAGGCGCACTTTCACTAATGGGGCCTCCCGCTGCCACCGCGTGATTTCCGTTCTCACCCTGGGGCAAAGTTCTCAACCTGAGGTACTATTTCCGAGTTAGCGGAGTTTGTAACCCAAAGTGTTTGTGACCCGAAGTGTTTGTAACTCGAGGTACCACTCTACTGGTTTTCCTGCAGATAAAAAAACCTGCGAGTGGCGCTGTGGTCTCAACCACTGAGCCTCTTGGGCTTGCCGATCAGAAGGTCGGTGGTTTGAATCCCCGTGACGGGGTCAGCTCCTGTTGCTCGGTCCCTGCTCCTCCCAACCTAGCAGTTCGAAAGCACACCAGCGCAAGTAGATAAATAGATACCACTGTGGTGGGAAGGTAAATGGCGTTTCTGGGTGCTCTGGTTTCCGTCACGGTGTCCTGTTGCGCCAGAAGCAGTTTAGTCCTGCTGGCCACATGACCCAGAAAGCTGTCTGTGGACAAACACCGACTCCCATGGCCTGAAAGCAAGATGAGTGCTGCAACCCCATAGTCGCCCTTGATTGGACTTAACCGTCATGGGGTCCTTTACCTTTTTTTTATCTTTTCCTGCATTGCAGGGCGTTGCAATAGACTACCCTTGATGTCCCTTCCAACTCTACAATTCTACGGTTCATTTTTCTCCGAATGATAAACAGACTTAGGGGACACGGAGAGTTGAGCTCTAAAAGGCAACCCCAAATTTTCCTACAACACTGTGATCAGGGGCTTCTTAAGGGAATCTGGCAAGAATTCGAAGGAGCCTTGGGTCTAAGACAGGCATAGGCAAACTCCGGTCCTCCAGATGTTTGGGACTACAACTCCCATCATCCCTAGCTAACAGGACCAGTGGTCAGGGATGATGGGAACTGTAGTCCCAAACATCTGGAGGGCGGGAGTTTGCCTATGCCTGGTCTAAGAGGACTCTCAAGATTGACTTTCAAGCTCGCACACAACGCTTGCATTGTGAATGCCCGCAGGACTCTCTGAATGTAAGGATTGTTTTGCCATCAGTTACAAATTTTGTTTTTCAAGAGGCCTCGCTTTAGATCATCGCAGCCCTGTGTGTTTGGAACAAAAGGCTCTTTGGTGACGCAACCCAACGTTCTTTCCCGAGCAGATGCGAAATTCAGCTGAACCAAAGTTACCATCTCGTGGAGAACGTCGTTGGTGAGGAAGCCGTCTTGGACGTAGGTGACCTCAACTTCCATGGGGATGCCGTAATCATAAGGCCTTTGCTGGTGGAAGAGAATATTTGGCCGGGGAAGGGGGTGAAGAGAGAGACACAGAGAAGTGAATAATATCAAGTCCTTTTTTTCTCTCTTGACTTGCTCAGGAGAACCAAAGTTGTAAAGCGCCCCCTGGTGGCTTAGAGGTGCAGCTCCTCAGACTGCACCGCCTATAATTGAGCCAACATACTTCTGAGCAACAAGCGATTTTACCCTTTTATTTATTGATTATAATATTTATACAGCACCAACTGATTAACACATACGCACACACGTTAACAGCAGCAAGCAATTGACAGTGTACCAAACATCCCCTTGGGAATCAACGCGGATTAGGTTCGAAAAAATATCCTGCAGTCTTTTTCCCTCTGCTAGTGCAAATAATAATAATAATATTTATATTCCGCCCATCTGGCAGCTCCCAAAGGGTGTTCCACAGGGAGGGTGCCACCACCGAGAAGGCCCTCTGCCTGTGTCAGGGAACTGACATCGGAGCCAGAGGCGGAGGCTAGGCTCTCGAGGGATGCTGGAGAAGGGCCCAGCAGGGGGAGAGGCGGCTCACCAGCTGGGGAAGGAAATCAGCGTAACACCAGGGATAAAGGGGGGCAGATGGGAGAATCGGCGAGGGGGCTCCAGGACTCCTCGCCGGAGATCAGCGAGGAGAGCACGGGTCCTCCGCTACCCACGCCCTCCCTGCGCAGAAGACTTCCGCGCAATGAGAGTCGGAGGAGACTTGGAGTCAAACAACTTTTATGCTGGAAAAGGTTTAAGAAACGCCCACTGACGGATTCTGCTAGCGACTGAACAGCCACGAAGTGCAGGGGCTGTCCAGACAGAAAAGGTTTAACAAGGCAACCTAGCCAGGAGTGGCACCAACTTGCGCACGAGCAACCCCCACATTTGTTACAGCCTGGTTCCCTGTAACCTCACTTCTCGCAATGAGGGAACCACCAGAAGGCCCTCGGAGCTGGACCTCCATGGACGATAGGGGTGGAGACACTCCTTCAGGTATGTTGTTTAGTCGTTTAGTCATGTCCGACTCTTTGTGACCCCATGGACCAGAGCACTCCTGTCTTCCACTGCCTCCCGCAGTTTGGTCAGACTCATGTTTGTAGCTTCGAGAACACTGTCCAACCACCTTCAGGTATACTGGGCCATTTAGGACTTTAAAGGTCAGCACCAACACTTTGGATTGCGCCTGGAAGCGTACTGGGAGCCAGTGCAGGTCTTTCAGGACCAGTGTTATGTGGTCTTGGCAGCTGCTCCCAGTCACCAGTCCAGCAGCTGCATTCTGGGCCCCCAGACCTTAGTATGCCTACCCATGGTTTAAGACTTTCTAGGTCAGAACCTAGTATGTATGGAAGTGAGAGCTGGACCATAAAGAAGGTTGATCGCCGAAGAATGGATGCTTTTGAATTATGGTGCTGGAGGAGACTCTTGAGAGTCCCATGGACTGCAAGAAGATCAAACCCCTCCATTCTTAAGGAAATCAGCCCTGAGTCCTCACTGGAAGGACAGATCCTGAAGCTGAGGCTCCAAGACTTTGGCCACCTCATGAGAAGAGAAGACTCCCTGGAAAAGACCCTGATGTTGGGAAAGATGGAGGGCACAAGGAGAAGGGGACGACAGAGGACGGGATGGTGGGACAGTGTTCTTGAAGCTACCAGCATGAGTCTGACCAAACTGTGGGAGGCAGTGGAAGACAGGAGGGCCTGGCGTGCTCTGGTCCAGGGGGTCACGAAGAGTCGGACACGACTAAACAACTAAACAACAACAACAAAGTCAGAACCAGCACTTTGAATTGGGCCCAGAAACTACCGTATTTTTCACTCTATAAGACGCACTAGACCACAAGACGCACCTAGTTTTTGGAGGAGGAAATCAAGAAAAAAAATATTCTGAATCTCAGAAGCCAGAACAGCAAGAGGGATCGCTGCGCAGTGAAAGCAGCAATCCCTCTTGCTGTTCTGGCTTCTGGGATAGCTGCGCAGCCTGCATTCGCTCCATAAGATGCACACACATTTCCCCTTACTTTTTAGGAAGGGAAAAGTGAGTCTTATGGAGCAAAAAATACAGTAATTGGTAGCCAGTGCAGTCGGACCAGATCTGTGTAATATGCTCAGATCGTCTTCCTTCAGTGAGCAAGCTGGGTGCTGAATTCTGCACCGGCTGAATTTTCCAAACCAGTGGTCTGGTGTGAGGTACTACCTTGCGCCCCCCACTCTCCCAAAGAGCACCTTGCTCAGGCGCTGCAGGACTCACCTCCGGAGGGGGCATTACCCAGAAAGGCGCAATCTTTGACTCCATGCCTTGGTTGGCATGGCAGTATGGACCTGAAGGGACAATAAGACAGAAGAAGAGTTTGGATTTGATATCCCACTTTATCACTACCCGAAGGAGTCTCAAAGCGGCTAACATTCTCCTTTCCCTTCCTTCCCCACAACAAACACTCTGTGAGGTGAGTGGGGCTGAGAGACTTCAGAGAAGTGTGACTGGCCCAAGGTCACCCAGCAGCTGCATGTGGAGGAGCGGGAAGCGAACCCAGTTCACCAGATTACGAGTCCACCGCTCTTAACCGCTACACCACACTGGCTCTCCAGATCATTTGGGCACCTAGCATGGGAACAGTATAAGCTAAACAAATTTACGTATAAGCTAAGCAAGCTATAGCTTAGGGCCCCACTTTCTTGGGGGCCCCCCAAAAATTTAAAGGGGAAAAAAACTGGATGTACATTTCCAAAATATAAGATAAAAAATAAAAAAAACCTACATACAGCAACAGTGTTTTGTGTTGTGCAGGCTCCTATGATGTAAGTCAGGCATTAGCAAACTTGGCCCTCCAGATGTTTTGGGACTACAACTCCCACCATCCCTGACCACTGGTCCTGCTAGCTAGGGATGATGGGAGTTGTAGTCCCAAAACATCTGGAGGGCTGAGTTTGCCTATGCCTGGTGTAAGTCATGGGCCCCGCCTACTAGCCTGCTCCCTAAAATATCACTGGTTTGCTCATTTGTATATATAGGGTGGGACGCAGGTGGCGCTGTGGGACATACCAGGAGAGGCGGTCCTGTAGGTATGAGGGTCCTCACCCGTATAGGGCTTTAAAGGTTAAAACCAGCACCTTAAACCTGACCCTGTACTCCACCGGGAGCCAGTGAAGCTGGTATAAAAGGTAAAGGTAAAGGGACCCCTGACCATTAGGTCCAGTCATGGCCGACTCTGGGGTTGCGGCGCTCATCTCGCTTTATTGGCCGAGGGAGCCGGCGTACAGCTTCCGGGTCATGTGGCCAGCAGGACTAAGCCGCTTCTGGCGAACCAGAGCAGCGCACGGAAACGCCGTGTACCTTCCCGCCGGAGCGGTACCTATTTATCTACTTGCACTTTGACGTGCTTTCAAACTGTTAGGTTGGCAGGAGCAGGGACCGAACAATGGGAGCTCACCCCGTCGCGGGGATTCGAACCACCGGCCTTCTCCGGGTGAATGAGATCCCACGGCGAGGACCCCGTAAGGAGTCTCGCCGCGGCATTCTGCACCTGCTGGAGTTTCTGGGTCAGTCTCAAGGGCAGCCCCATGTAGAGTGAGTTACAGACGTGATTAGACACAGGAGCAATCCGTAAAGAAGAAACATTGGGAGAGGTACATTGCTGCCCGTTTCTGCACCTAACGTTTGCAGAGTGCTGCGAGACGGTGGGCTGTGCGATGGCCTGGGATTCGGACTCGGAGGCTGAACCTGAGGAATCCCAGCCTGCACAGGAGTCCCCGCCTCCAGAACCAGCTGAGCCGGGGCTGGGGCATGAGCCTGAAGGGTCCTCACCTGTGCTGGGTCCTCAGGTGCAGGCACCAGCTGAGTCTGCTCTGGCCCCTGAGGGGATGGAGGACCCATTACCTGCAGATGCTCCACTCTCAGCCCCATCAGAGGAAGCTGAGGTTGCCTCTGGGTCCAGTAACCCTCCAGCCTCTCCTGAGCTGCAGAGGCTCAGGGCAGAGAGGCGGAGGGAACTAAGTTCCCGCAGGAGGAGTGCTCACCTCCAGGCCAGGAGAGGTGAGTCACCTGTGGACTAGGGCTGCCCTATGCCTCAGGGCAGATAAAAGCCAGCCAGCCCCAGTCCCAAGTTGCAGGAGCAACATTGTTGGTAGCCAGTTCCTGCCTGCACCCTGTCCTGCCGGAGCTCCTGACCTCACCCGACTCCCCACCTTGGACCCAGCTACAGCTTTGACGGACAGCCTCCATACTGCATCCTCGACCTTGGTCTGAACTTGGACCTTGCCTCATGGTTAACCCACGGAACCAGCACAGGCTGTTTCGTTCAGGTTGAGACGAACAGACACCCTTCTGCCACTTACCGCAGATGAGTGCCAAGCAAGGCTGGAAGCTGTTGCTGGTTCCCTGGAGCTTCAGCTGGTAGTCCATTTGAGTATCGATGTCCTGGAGGGATGGCAGGGCATGGCTGAACGGGTGGCTGTGATACCAGCCCACCAGGGAAAGCCCACGCATAAAGAGGTTCTGGCATATCTGAAGACAAGAGGAAAAGGATGTTGCTTTTCAGCAGTCTTAAGCATATCCAGAAGAATGGATGCTTTTGAATTCTGGTGCTGGAGGAGACTCTTGAGAGTCCCATGGACTGCAAGAAGATCCAACCTCTCCATTCGGAAGGAAATCAGCCCTGAGTGCTCACTGGAAGGACAGATCCTGAAGCTGAGGCTCCAAGGCTTTGGCCACCTCAGGAGAAGAGAAGACTCCCTGGAAAAGACCCTGATGTTGGGAAAAATGGAGGGCACAAGGAGAAGGGGACGACAGAGGACGAGATGGTGGGACAGTGTTCTCGAAGCTACCAGCATGAGTTTGACCAAACTGTGGGAGGCAGTGGAAGACAGGAGGGCCTGGCGTGCTCTGGTCCAGGGGGTCACGAAGAGGCGGACACGACTAAACGACTAAACAACAAATGTATGCTGCTACTGCAGCCCGTGCTTTGTTAGCCCCCAAATGGAAAACAAGCGAGTTCCCAACCAAAGAAGAACACCCTCGAACAGGGAGCAACTTGTCTTCCCATCATCCTCATCCAAGCTGTTTGCCCAAGAGTTATACTTCCAAGACAGCTGGAGGGCAAAGGAAGAATCGAACAAACAATCCATGGGGCAGTCGTGGTGCCTGCTACCCCATGTTGAACTCCAGCACCACCATTACTAAGGAAATGAGCTCCTTACCTCTTCTTCCACGGCAGCTGCTAAGTCCCCGTCCGCAAGGCGTGATCGGCAAGGAAATGCCCTCAGCACCGTTAACACTGAAAGATTTAAAAAAGAAAAGGTGTGTGCGAGTTTGAAAGTCAATCTTGAGAGTCCTCTTAGACCAGGCATAGGCAAACTCCCGCCCTCCAGATGTTTGGGACTACAGTTCCCATCATCCCTGACCACTGGTCCTGTTAGCTAGGGATGGTGGGAATTGTAGTCCCAAACATCTGGAGGGCCGGAGTTTGCCTATGCCTGTCTTAGACCCAAGGCTCCTTCGAATTCTTGCCAGATTACCTTAAGAAGCCCCTGATCGCAGTGTTGTAGGAAAATTTGGGGTTGCCTTTTAGAGCCCAGCTCTAAGTCTGTTTATCGGTCAGAGAAAAACGAACCGTAGAATTGTAGAGTTGGAAGGGACATCAAGGGTAGTCTATTGCAACGCCCTGCAATGCAGAAAAAGGTAAAGGACCCTGGACGGTTAAGTCCAGTCAAGGGCGACTATTGGGTTGTGGCGCTCATCTCGCTTTCAGGCCGAGGGAGCCAGCGTTTGTCCACAGACAGCTTTCCGGGTCATGTGGCCAGCAGGACTAAACCGCTTCTGGTGCAATGGGACACCATGACAGAAACCAGAAATGCCGTTTACCTTCCCACCACAGCAGTACCTATTTATCTACTTGCGCTGGTGTGCTTTCGAACTGCTAGGTTGGCAGGAGCTGGGACAGAGCAATGGGAGCTCACTCCATCGTGGGGATTCAAACTGCTGACCTTCGGATTGGCAAGCCCAAGAGGCTCAGTGGTTTAGACCAGAGCCCCACCCGCGTCCCTACAACACTGAAAGAGAACCAAGGGATCACTGGTTTTGGTCAACCAATGCCCTCCTGCTTTGGGCCAGACATTAGCAGATATACTGCCTTGAGGTTTTTGTTTAGCTGCCCTAACTAACCCTCTCTTCTAAGGGTTTAGGAACGGAGCCAGCTGCCCTATATCAAGTCAAAGCATTAGTCCATCTCTCCCTGTATCGTCTCCCCTGACTCTCTAGTCTAGGACAAGGGGAACGAACCTCTGCCAGATGGGCCAATCTTCTCTCTCCAGGAGTTCCGATTTGGCCCTCCAGGTCGGTTATATCGAAGCCATGCCCACCTGTCAATCATCAGAGGCCCCTCCAATGGGCGAGTGAGACCAGCTGATTGGCAGGGTTGAATTCTGCATGGTGCAAACCCATCGGAAACTGGTGCATGCAGTCAACACAGCAGGATTTAACCCCCTGCTCATCAGCCGAGGAGCCGAGAGTTAAATCCTGGTCAGTTCAAGCCCTGATAAAACAAAGGCCGTGTTAGCAGAGCCTTGCTGCCTGTGAGGTGCTTTGACGTCCCAACTTCGGGACTTCAAAGCAGCAAGTCACCTGATGTCCTTGTGGCGTCAGGTGACTGGCAGGCTGGTGGCCCCATCCACCTCTCAAATTTGGCCTAAGAGGCCAATCCTGATAAGGATCAGGCCCGTGGGGCCAAAAATGTTCCCCATTCCTTCTCCAGGCCTTCAACTGGGGGGCTTTTGCAGCTCTGCCTGAAGAATCAACCTGCGACCTTCCCCACCAAAAGAAATAGGGTTTTGAATAAATGCTGTGGGTTAAAGCACAGAGCCTAGGACTTGCTGGACAGAAGGTCGGCGGTTCGAATCCCCATGATGGGGTGAGCTCCCGTTGCTCGGTCCCTGCTCCTGCCAACCTAGCAGTTCGAAATCACGTCAAAGTGCAAGTAGATAAATAGGTACCACTCTGGCAGGAAGGTAAACGGCGTTTCCGTGCGCTGCTCTGGTTCGCCAGAAGCGGCTTAGTCCTGCTGGCCACATGACCCGGAAGCTGTACGCCAGCTCCCTCAGCCAATAAAGCGAGATGAGCACCGCAACCCCAGAGTGGGCCACGACTGGACCTAATGGTCAGGGGTCCCTTTACCTTTATATAAACAGAAACACAGAAAGAAGCCTTCGACCAAGTCAAGTTTTCGTTCCACCTGAGTTCAGCACCTTTGTTCATTCATTCCTGCAGTTCCTGTTTGGCTGTATTATTATCGTTATTACTGCTTAAGAATGGATGCTTTTGAATTCTGGTGCTGGAGGAGACTCTGGAGAGTCCCATGGACTGCAAGAAGATCCAACCTCTCCATTCGGAAGGAAATCAGCCCTGAGTGCTCACTGGAAGGACAGATCCTGAAGCTGAGGCTCCAAGACTTTGGCCACCTCGTGAGAAGATAAGACTCCCTGGAAAAGACCCTGATGTTGGGAAAGATGGAGGGCACAAGGAGAAGGGGACGACAGAGGACGAGATGGTGGGACAGTGTTCTCGAAGCTAGTAACATGAGTCTGACCAAACTGCGGGAGGCAGTGGAAGACAGGAGTGCCTGGCGTGCTCTGGTCCAGGGGGTCGCGAAGAGTCGGACACGACTAAACGACTAAACAACAACAGGTTAGCATCTGCAACCTGAATTTTGAGATCAACTTTGAGGCAAATTTCTGCTTAGTTGCCTTAAGCATCATTTTTAATTAATTACATTTTAAAGGAAAGGTGGGGAAAGGAAATTTGGAACATTTCTGCCATTTTTGCCGAGATAGCAAAAATGACTGCAGCAATCAGGGGCTGCTCCAATCAAAAATTCTATACAGAATGGGAATGCCTGAAGAAATATGGTGTTAAATCAGAACTCTTAGTAGGCAATTGTTAAGTGTGTAAGGACAAAAGAAGTAATTATAATTTAACAGTTTTCAAGTTACTCTATTTTATCAAAACAACTAGAAAAAAATATATTATGATGGGAAGATCTCACACAGGTGAAGGGAAGCAGTGGGGAGGAGGGGAGGGTTAGGTTGAATTTGGGAAATAAAATAATATTGTTGTTGTTGTTTAGTCGTTTAGTCGTGTCCAACTCTTCATGACCCCCTGGACCAGAGCACGCCAGGCACTCCTGTCTTCCACTGCCCAGCGAAGGATATAATCGATTCTTATAGAATAGTAATATGTTGTAACCAGAATAGAAGTTTAAAAGCGGAAGTAAATGTACTTTTAGGATTTTCATTATTGTAATAGCTATTATTATTTCTTATCAGTGGAAGGCAATGTTAATTTAGACTGCTTTGTTTTGCGGTCTGTATAATTTTTTTTAAATTTTTTTCCCCAAAATTTTTATTGGTTTTCACAATATTATAAACAAACAAACAAACAAACAAACAAACAAACACACAAGACAAACAAACATAACAAACATAAATCATAGCCTTATTGAAAATTACAGTTATTACCTTTGTTAAGTGACTTCCTCGCTTCCCCTTGGTTGAATTTCATTGCATGTCCTTTTAACAGTTTACCAAATCCCAATTTTTATGAAATTTAACTTAAACATTAACATCGTTAAATCTTCACCTTATAGAATTAAACATATTAATTCATCACTTAACATAAATGAAATCCTAAACCAGTTAAGTATCTGCAAGCTATTTCCGGTTAGTTTAACTTAACAAATTTAACTAAATAATCATTAAATTTATTCCATTCTTCCTGATACTCCTCCTCCTTCTGGTCGCGGACTCTTCCGGTTAGGTCGGCTAGCTCCGAAAAATCCATCATCTTGTATAATTTTTTTTTAAAGTCAATAAAAAAAGAAAGGAATTTGGAACATTTCAGCTCCACTCTCTTGCTAGTTACCCCCGGGGAACTTACGCTGGCTGTTGGTGTCCCAGCGACCGCCGAGATAGCCAGTTACTTCACTCTTCGTCAGGTGACTATGGAAGTCCTAAGAGGAAAGGGGGGGGGGAGAGCACAGGTTTGAAGGTTTGGTCACCCTTGGGTGCTATGGTCACACTCTGGGTGCTACTGGACTCCAGCTCCCATAATCCCTGCATTGCACGGGGGTCAGACTAGATGACTCTTAGTGTCCCTTCCAACTCTACAATTCTATATTCCTCATATCAGAGTCCAAGCTATCAGATTTATGGATTCCTCCCTCCAACCCTAAAAGAGCTACCTCTCTTTTAAATCAGAACTAGTGAAGGTCCTGTGTGGGTGTCTGGAGGCAGTTGGAGGATGGATGGTGGCTAGCAGATTGAGGGTGAATCCTGACAAGACAGAAGGACTGTTTCTGGGGGACAGGAGGCGGGCAGGTGTGAGGGACTCCCTGGTCCTGAATGGGGCAACTGTGCCCCTGAAGGACGAGGTGCGCAGCCTGGGAGTCATTTTGGACTCACAGCTGTCCATGGAAGCACAGGTCGATTCTGTATCCAGGGCAGCTGTCTACCGGCTCCATCTAGTACGCAGGATGAGACCCTACCTGCCCTTGGACTGTCTTGTTAGAGTGGCGCATGCTCTGGTTATCTCCCGCTTGGACTACTGCAATGCGCTCTACGTGGGGCTACCTTTGAAGGTGACTCGGAAACTGCAATTAATCCAGAATGCGGCAGCTAGACTGGGGACAGGGAGCAGCCGCCGAGACCACATAACACTGGTCTTGAAAGATCTACACTGGCTCCCAGTACATTTCCGAGCACAATTCAAAGTGTTGGTGCAGACCTTGAAAGCCCTAAACGGCCTCGGTCCTGTATACCTGAAGGAGCGTCTCCACCCCTTTGTTCTGCCCGGACAACTGAGGTCCATCTCCGAGGGCCTTCTGGCGGTTCCCTCCCTGCGAGAAGCGAGGTTACAGGGAAGCAGGCAGAGGGCCTTCTCGGTAGTGGCGCCCGTCCTGTGGAACACCCTCCCATCAGATGTCAAGGAAATAAACAACTATCTGACTTTTATAAGACATCTGAAAGCAGCCCTGTTTAGGGAAGTTTTTAATGTTTGATGTTTTATTGTGCTTTTAATTTTGTTGGGAGCTGCCCAGAGTGGCTGGGGAAACCCAGCCAGATGGGTAGGGTATAAAGAATAATTTATTATTATATTATTACTGAGGCCTCTTGGTGGGGCTGGCCAGGGCCCAGCCAAATGTCCACGTACCACTAACAAAAGGACGTTGCTGGAGATGGCGACATTGAAAGGCTGGAACTTGTTAAGGGCTGCGAAAGACGTCACTTCCACCAAGGTGTGGGGATTCCTAAAGGCAGACAAAGAAACGGCCATCATGAGCACTAATAGCATTAAATATATATATATTAATGAGCCGAATGCAAAGGCTTTTAAATACGACTTAAGCTGACTTGGGGCAGTCAATCCTGTATTTATTTGTTAAACACCTGAGGATCAAAGGAAGGCTTACCGTATAAACGAATTGCAGTACAAATGGATGGCATGTTTTGTTTGTGGAAAATTCCTTCCCAAACAAAGCCCGTTAGAGTGGTTTACATCATCAAATATCCTTTATTAAGCATAAGGTAAAGGTAAAGGGACCCCTGACCGTTAGGTCCAGTCGTGGCTGACTCTGGGGTTGCAGCGCTCATCTCGCTTTATTGGCCGAGGGAGCCGGCGTACAGCTTCCAGGTCATGTGGCCAGCAGAACTAAGTCGCTTCAGGCGAACCAGAGCAGCGCACGGAAACGCCGTTTACCTTCCCGCCGGAGCGGTACCTATTTATCTACTTGCACTGGTGTGATTTTTGAAGCTTTTCCAAAACTTTTCCGACACCGTGCTTCGCAAGACGAAAAATTCGCTAGACGAAAAAACTCGCGGAACCAATTAATTTCGTCTTGCGAGGCACCACTGTACCTATTTATCTACTTGCACTTTGGCGTGCTTTTGAACTGCTAGGTTGGCAGGAGCAGGGACCCAGCAATGGGAGCTCACCCCGTCGCGGGGATTCGAACTGCTCACCTTCTGATCGGCAAGCCCAAGGCTCTGTGGTTTAACCCACAGCGCCACCTGCTATTAGGCATAGCAAAACACATATTATCAAACAGACACCATATACAAATTGTGCAAAATACGAGCTCAGCATAACAAGGTTTGTCCCAGTCAGATCATTAACTCCAGAGGAAATCAATTTGCATAAATAATACAACACAACACTACCACATCCCCAATCAATTAAGAACCACTAAATCTCTTTATAGTGGCCCAGTCTTTCTACATGGACAGCACTCAAAAATTCAGCCACTATTAATTTGATCATTCCTGTCCAAAACCAGGTCCTGAACATTTGGCAGCATAGAATTCAGCCTATTGAGTTGTAAGGCCTCTAATAATTGTCTTCTGGCATAAATGCCAAAATAACGAGAAAAGAAAATATGCTCCAAAATATCAGGTTCCTCGTTAGAGTGGTTAAAAAACAACAACAACATTTTCTTCAGAATCGGTTTACGCAATTGTGTTCTAGACCCATCTTGCATTCAGCAAGTCGTTATTTTGCTTTCGTACTATTTTGCTGAAAACCGCACAAACGCCGCAGCGTATCGCAAAGTGCCGTTGCAAGGCGAGGGGAAACTGTTTCAGCCCGCGGGCCACACTCCCTTCCAGGGGCCAGAGCCAAAAGTGGGAGGAGCAATACATGTAAATTTCACGAGTCTTCCCCTCTCTGCCCTCCCCAGCTAGCAAGAGGCCTTGCTAAAGGTTCCCTCACTGCGAGAAGCCAAGTTACAGAGAACCAGGCGGAGGGCCTTCTCAGTGGTGGCACCTGCCCTGTGGAACGCCCTCCCACCACTGTACTTAACCTGAAGCACCACTTTAGCTAGTGGGGCCTCCTGTTGCTGTTTCTGTTCTCATCCTGAAGCAAAGTTCTTAACCTGAAGCAATATTTCTGGGTTAGCAGAGTCTGTAACCTGAAGTGTATGTAACCTGAAGCATATGTAACCCAAGGTACCACTGTATTGTATTTTAATCTTTTGTTGGAAGCCGCCCAGAGTGGCTGGGGAAACTCAGGCAGATGGGCGGGGTATAAGTAATATATTATTATTATTATTATTATTATTATTATTATTATTATGCTCACGGGCATGTTCCGGCTCGGGGAAACACTGTAGGAGAGTGCAAGAATTGTTGGTGCTTTCCAGGGGCCGGCGAGAGAAGTCTAGAGGGCCACATGGTGAATCCCAGCCAGAGTTTTATCTTTTACATTGTTGGCCGCATTTCAGCAAACTAGCTTCTTGAGCCGCGGCTGAAATCCTGCCTCCCCACCCACCAACTCAAAACAGAGGCATCCATTCTCAAGTCTGCCTTCGCCTTGAGGACTACAGCCTTTCCTTCTGCTTTTTAAATTAGATTTCACCCCCCTGAGCACAGCTGCACACAAGACATGCGTCTCTAGCTACTGAGAGGATTTCATACATACGATGGACGTACCTGGCAGAGTCCCGACTCCCCAGGCTGCAATAACGGACAGGGATTCGATTCCTGCAGTCCAGCCTTTTGCTGCTATCTGCGATTAAAAACAAAGCGACTGGCCATCACTGAGCTAAACTGAGGCATGAAACGCAAAATTAAACATCTCCACCCTCCGTTTCAACACCTTTCATTGTTGCACCATTTAAGCAGGTTTATTTTATTCTGCATTTTAATTGCGGGTGTTTGTGCTTCGTTTTGTTTACAAAATGTATTTTTCTTATACATAGCATAACCATTGTGACCTTTATCAAAGGGTAGCGCTAGCTACTGGTTTTCCCAGTAGTGATGTGTGGAAGTGAGAGCTGGACCATCAAGAAGGCTGATCGCCAAAGAATTGATGCTTTTGAATTCTGGTGCTGGAGGAGACTCTTGAGAGTCCCATGGACTGCAAGAAGATCAAACCTCTCCATCCTGAAGGAAATCAGCCCTGAGTGCTCACTGGAAGGACAGATCCTGAAGCTGAGGCTCCAAGACTTTGGCCACCTCAGGAGAAGAGAAGACTCCCTGGAAAAGACCTTGATGTTGGGAAAGATGGAGGGCACAAGGAGAAGGGGACGACGGAGGACGAGATGGTGGGACAGTGTTCTCGAAGCTACCAGCATGAGTTTGACCAAACTGCGGGAGGCAGTGGAAGACACGAGGGCCTGGCGTGCTCTGGTCCAGGGGGTCACGAAGAGGCGGACACAACTAAACGACTAAACAACAATGCTAGCCAAAATTCCTTCCTGCAGCGGGGGGAAGTCTGTTTTCCAAGAATCTGCGAGGACATCAGTTCTGACAAATTTCTTTTATTTCAGAGCCTCCTGCTGTATAAAGATCTGTTTGTGGAGTCAGACTGTTTTGCGGTCGCATATGTAATAAAACTATACAGTCGTACCTTGGTTGTTGAACGCCTTGTGACTCAAATGTTTTGGCTCACAAACACTGCAAACCTGGAAGTGAGTGTTCCGGTTTGCGAACTTTTTTTGGAAGCTGAACGTCTGACGCGGCTTCTGCAGCCAATCAGAAGCCGCGCCTTGGTTTTTGAACGTTTTCGGAAGTCGAACGGACTTCCAGAATGGATTCCGTTTGAGAACCAAAGTATGACTGTACTAAGTTTATGGGTGTTTTTAAAGTATGAGCGAAATTGTTTCGTTGTGTATTTAAATCACAAATAATAGGGTTTTAAAAATATATAAATAATTGGTTTTACATTTGTAAACTGCTTAGAAGCCCATTTTGGCAAGCCAGCGGCATATAAATCAATACTACATTGACATACCTGAGCTGTGCAGTTCTGCAAGACTTTTCGCCTGCTGCTTCCGGGTCTTGTCCTCCAATTTCTTAGCTAGCATGGACTCTGAGAGGACTGACTTAACCCCCTTGGCTTCTTCTTCCTCCTCATCGGCAAGCTCATCCTCTTCCCCTTCGCTCACTAAACTCTGGGGGAGGAAAAGAGATGCAAAAGCCGTCAGAGAGGAATCATAGAATCATAGAGTTGGAAGAGACCACAAGGGCCATCGAGTCCAACCCCCTGCCAAGCAGGAAACAAGGTTGTCTCCCCACTGCTACTCAGCCTACAAGAGCTGTCATGTGAGGAAGGAAGACTAGCCATGCCCTCAGTTGCTCCAGCTGGCTTCAGATCGAACGTCCAGAGCTGTTTGACAGTGGGCCAGAATGCATAAGACAGAGGCAGTTTCTGCAATATACAGTTGCCAACTCAAACGTTCGTGCAGGAAAGAGTTAACCTGAGCCCGGAACCCAGGTAGCAAGTGGGTGTGGCTTAGCAGGCCCTCTGCTTCCCCACTTCTCAGTCTTTTTCTCTGTGCTTCATGCAAGAAGCAAAGAAGGAGCCATGCGGACGATGGCTCCCAGCTGCAAGAAAAACCAAGTGAACTGAATCTCTCAAAAAAGGAGATCTTATAGCCTGCAACCCAAAGATTGCATGATCATCTTTGGAAGTAAGTACCTTGGTGCCCCGCAAGACGAATGCCTCGCAAGACGGAAAACCCGCTAGACGAAAGGGTTTTCCGTTTTTCAATGCGCTTCGCAGGACGAATTTCCCTATGGGCTTGCTTCGCAAGACGAAAATGTCTTGCGAGTCTTGAGATTTTTTTTCGCTCCCCCCCCTTTTTCTAAGCCGCTAAGCCTTTAATAGCCTTTTAGCAGCTAAGCCGCTAAGCCTTTAATAGCCGCTAAACCGCTAATAGCGCTAATCCGCTAATAGGGTTCCTTCACAAGACGAAAAAACCGCTAGACGAAGAGACTCGCGGAACGGATTAATTTCGTCTTGCGAGGCACCACTGTACAGTGGTACCTCGGGTTACATACGCTTCAGGTTACAGACTCCACTAACCCAGAAATAATACCTTGGGTTAAGAACTTTGCTTCAGAATGAGAACAGAAATTGTGCTCCAGCGGCACGGCAGCAGCAGGAGGCCCCATTAGCTAAAGTGGTGCTTCAGGTTAAGAACAGTTTCAGGTTAAGAACGGACCTCCGGAACAAATTAAGTACTTAACCCGAGGTACCACTGAAAAGTTATTTGCTTTTAAAGTCATTTGAAACCTTTCTTCATTTTTGTCTTACTGCCAGCTGACAGATTTGTCCATTTTAAATTCTGGAAACTCTGTGAGCAAAAATAAACAAACCACTTACTGTGATTTATTCTAGCCTAAGTATTTTTGCGGGGAACATTTGTTTTGAAAGTGGATGAGGGCATATGTGAAATCTAACCAAGTTTTAATGTGCTCTGTGCAATCGCTGTTGTGCTTAACACTGCTGTGAGAAGGTAAGAATCTCCCTTCCCAACCTCTCTCCCCAGCAGCGGTTGGTGCCCACATTAAATTATTAAATTTGTATGCTGTCCTTCATCCAAAGATCTCGGGGCAGAACGCAGATAGCCCTTGATTTCTTAGCGTAAATGAAAACTGCATTAGTTATTCTTGCACGGAAGCACAAACAAAAGAGGACAAATAACTGTGTCGCCATTAAGTATATATAAAAATTTAGAGTCTGTTTCCTTTCTTTCTTTTTTAACCCATTAAAAGCAGCTTTTTTGCATTTACCATAATCAGATAAATCTAAACTGTTGCTTACTTAAGTAAAGGTAAAAGGACCCCTGACCATTAGGTCCAGTCGTGGCCGACTCTGGGGTTGCAGCGCTCATCTCGCTTTATTGGCCGAGGGAGCCGGCGTACAGCTTCCGGGTCATGTGGCCAGCAGGACTAAGCCGCTTCTGGCGAACCAGAGCAGCGCACAGAAACGCCGTTTACCTTCCCACCGGAGCGGTACCTATTTATCTACTTGCACTTTGAGGTGCTTTCGAACTGCTAGGTTGGCAGGAGCAGGGACTGAGCAACGGGAGCTCACCCCGTCACGGGGATTCAAACCCTGATCGGCAAGTCCTAGGCTCTGTGGTTTAACCCACAGTGCCACCCGCATCCTTTGTTGCTTACTTAGCTTGTACATAAATGCAGCGCTCTAACAAGTGAAAGAGAAATCAGGGTATTCATTCACCTCCTCGGCAGGGGGCGTGTTGGGCTGGTACTTCTTCAGCCAAACAGCTTTATACTGGTCTAATTTCTGGCCCTTATACTTGACCGACGCCCAGCCACACCCAGACTTCTTGGCTGGGTTGACAAGCTTTTTGCAGTAGGTCGCCCAGGCGCTTGGGGAGTTGAACACTTGACCCGTCTCCTGCCAAACGATCTTGCCATCCGTCAAGAGGTCGCCCAAGAACTTCTTGCCCTGGGACAGGTGAGAGAGAAGACACAATCGGAATGTAAAAAAGTGGAAAACCTCTGGGAAACGATATATAATGAGACGAAAAAGATGTTGAAATATACATTTACAGTGGTACCTTGGGTTACATACGCTTCATGTTACATACACTTCAGGTTACAGACTCCACTAACCCAGAAATAGTGCTTCAGGTTAAGAACTTTGCTTCAGGATGAGAACAGAAATCGTGCTCCGGCGGCGCAGCAGCAGCAGCAGGCCCCATTAGCTAAAGTGGTGCTTCAGGTTAAGAACAGTTTCAGGTTAAGTACGGACCTCCGGAACGAATTAAGTACTTAACCCGAGGTACCACTGTATTAAAAAAACCAGAAGCATTTTTAATTAGCATTGTAGGAGATGATATTAATAGACAGGACTGTAAGTTGTTTTTATATGCAATGACGGCAGCAAGAATATTATTGGCACAAAAATGGAAGCAAGAAGAATTACTGACGAAAGAGGAATGGCAAATGAAATTAATGGACTATGCAGAATTAGACAACAGGAAGATTCGAAATCTGCGGGATCAGAGATTCTTAGAAGACTGGAGTACATATTTGAACTATTTGAAAAGCAATTGTAACAAACAGATTATGCTAGTAGGACTGCAAGAAGTTCTGTAAGGAGGACTATTTGAAATACTGCAAAAAAGACTACAATGAGAACTATTGGTCAAGGATAATCAAAAGTAATAGAGAAATGCAGAACAAATGATAAAGAACAGAAAATCTTCAGAAGTGGTTGACGGAAGTCTAAAATATGGTATAAGATAAGAAGTTATGTTAAACGATTGTTGGAAAGGATATATTAAAAAAACCAATTAAAATGGAGAGAGAGAGAGAGAGAGAGAGAGAGAGAGAGAGAGGAGAGAAAACAAAGGCATGGGTGGGTGTGCAGGAGAGAAATAGATGATTCCAGTCTTTTTCTAAGTTCATTTATGTTGTACCCCTCTTAAAAGAATAAACACACCACAATCTTGTGTAAAGTATATATAAGCATAGCTGCCAACGTTTCCCTTTTTTAAAGAGAAATTCCCTTATTCCGAATACGATTCCTCGCAAGAAAAGGGAAACGTTGACAGCTATGTATATAAGTAGTTTACTCACATTCAGTTCACAGATGGATACCTGAAGGCAGACTTAGTTAAAAAGTATATACGTGGATCTATCCCATATGGAGATAATCTCAGTGTCCTCTGTTGGCTGGAAGCTAATCTCTAGCTAAAAGCTGATCCAATGATGGAGGAAGTCAAAAAGAGAGAGAACTGCGTGCCCTGTCCCTTTTGTTACAGGTAAGGTCATGCCCACCTCTAGGTAAAGGTAAACGGACCCCTGACCGTTTAAGTCTAGTCGTGACTGACTTTGGGGTTGCGGCGCTCATCTCGCTTTATTGGCCGAGGGAGCCGGTGTACAGCTTCCGGCTCATGTGGCCAGCATGACTAAGCCACTTCTGGCGAACCAGAGCAGCGCACGGAAACGCCATTTACCTTCCCACCGGAGTGGTACCTATTTATCTACTTGCACTTTGAGGTGCTTTCGAACTGCTAGGTTGGCAGGAGCAGGGACCGAGCAACGGGAGCTCACCCCATCGCGGGGATTCGAACCGCCGACCTTCTGATCGGCAAGTCCTAGGCTCTGTGGTTTAACCCACAGCGCCACCCACGTCCCATATGCCCACCTCTAGTCATATGTAAAAGGAAGTATGTCCCAGCCAGGAGGAAACAGGAACATCCCCCCTGCATGTCCACTCTAGGAAAACAAGGAATGTTGTGCTTGACTGCTACTTAACGTATCACATCCCACACCATTGAGGGCCAGCACTCCCCTTGTCCGCTTCTTGGAAGGAGAAGCGACGGAACGATGAGAGCGTCTTACCAATCTGCCCAGATGCTGAGGTCCAGCTCTGAGGGCCTTCTAGTGGTTCCCTCATTGCGAGAAGCAAAGCTACAGGGAACCAGGCAGAGGGCCTTCTCGGTGGTGGCACCTGCCCTCTTGGAACACCCTCCCACCAGATGTCAAAGAGATAAACAACTACCTGACATTCAGAAGACATCTGAAGGCAGCCCTGTTCAGGGAACTTTTTAATGTGTGACATCTTAGTGTATTTTTGGGCTTTCTTGGAAGCCGCCCAGAGTGGCTGGGGAAACCCATTCAGATGGGCGGGGTACAAATAATGAATTATTATTATTATTATTATTATTATTATTATTATTGGTAAAGGGACCCCTGACCGTTAGGTCCAGTCGTGACAGACTCTGGGGTTGCAGCGCTCATCTCGCTTTATTGGCCGAGGGAGCCGGCGTACAGCTTCCGGGTCATGTGGCCAGCAGAACTAAGTCGCTTCAGGCGAACCAGAGCAGCGCACGGAAACGCCGTTTACCTTCCCGCCGGAGCGGTACCTATTTATCTACTTGCACTGGTGTGCTTTCGAACTGCTAGGTTGGCAGGAGCAGGGACCGAGCAATGGGAGCTCACCCCGTCGCGGAGATTCGAACCGCTGACCTTCTGATCGGCAAGTCCTAGGCTCTGTGGTTTAACCCACAGCGCCACCTGTGTCCCTTATTATTATTATTACCAGGTAGTAAATGGAGAGGACACCCTCTCCGGGCTCAATCAGCCCGTCCTTTAGAAGCACACGCAGAGTGATTCCTCGTCGTGTCAGGATACAGCAGCTACGCCTGCCAGGAACCAGTAATTTCCCCACGTTCTCGTGGTCTTCCAAGCTCGCCTCCAGCTCTTCCTCGTCCTCTTCCAGGCAATCGTCTCCTCCAAGGGATTCTGCATCTAGGGTTTGGGACATAGCTGTCAACTTTCAGATTTGAAAATAAGGGACCCGCAGCCTCGAAAATAAGGGATCAGCAGCCAAAATAAGGGATTTTCCAAGCACAGGTATGTTCAACTTCTGAGCCCCTCCGAGCCAAAGGCAGAAAGCCCAGCCAGCAGCCAAACGAAGCCTCAAGCGGTGGTTCCCACAGCGCAGCAACCCAGCAAAGGGAATGCAGCAAGGAAAACCACCATCGCCTCTCCGCTGGGAAGCGCTGAGCAAAGGCGAGTCCCAAGGCAACGCAGCCGATTTGATCGGCACAAGGCATGCAAGCTCCACCCCTCAGTCGTTCTTAGACTCCTTATTGGGTGAGCAACACAGTTGGAGCCTCCCTCCTCCCTGGCCGGCAGGGAGGGAGGGAGAGGAGCTGCTTCCTTTGAAACCTGGGAAATTTAAGGGACATCATCAATAAGGGACAGCAGCAGGACCCGGCGCTGGGATAAGGGACTTTCCCACCAAATCAGGGACGGTTGACAGCTATGGTTTGGGAAGACTAAGCGCAGAAGGAATGATCAGGGAGCCGGGAGGGATCAGGCTGGGAAATTTAGGTTCGATCCCTGGCAAATCCAGGCGGGGTTGGAAATATTCCCCTACCCACCCTCAAGATCTAGTAGACACCAAACTGGGAAGGGTAGCTGATGCCGCAGAAGACAGAATCAGAATTCGAAATGACCTCAACAGATTGCAGAGAACTGGGCCCAAGCTAGCAAAGGGAATTCTAATAGGGTCAATTGTCTGGTTCTGTACTTAGGCAGGAAGAACCAGATGCACATATATAGTATGGGGGACACCTGAGTTACTAGAAGCATGTGTGAATAGGATCTAAGGGGTCTTGGTGGACCACACGTTTTACGTGAGTCCACAGTGTGATGCTGCAGCAAAAAAAGGCTAAGGCTATTCTAGGCTGCGGGACGCAGGTGGCACTGTGGGTTAAACCACAGAGCCTAGGACTTGCCGATCAGAAGGTCGGCAGTTCGAATCCCCGCAATGATGGGGTGAGCTCCCGTTGCTCGGTCCCTGCTCCTGCCAACCTAGCACTTCGAAAGCACGAAGTGCAAGTAGATAAATAGGTACCACTCCGGCGGGAAGGTAAACGGCGTTTCCGTGCACTGCTCTGGTTCGCCAGAAGCGGCTTAGTCCTGCTGTACGCCGGCTCCCTTGGCCAATAAAGCGAGATGAGCGCCGCAACCCCAGAGTCGGCCACGACTGGACCTAATAGTCAGGGGTCCCTTTACCTTTTTATTCTAGGCTGCATCAGCAAAAGTCTAGTGTCCAGACCAGGGATAGGCAAACTCGGCCCTCCAGATGTTCTGGGACTACAACTCCCGTCATCCCTGGCTAACAGCACCAGTGGTCAGGGATGATGGGAATTGTAGTCTCAAAACATCTGGAGGGCCAAGTTTGCCTATGTCTGGTCCAGACCAAGGTTGGCTGGCCGTCTGTCATGGATGCTTTAGCTGAGATTCCTGCATTGCAGGGACTCTGGAGGTCCCTTCCAACTCTGCAATACGATGATCCGCTACCTGCCATTGCAGGCTATACTGAGCTAGACAGATGGGCTTCCTCAGGAGAAAGCAGCTCCTTGTACCTCCCAATTGTTTAGAAGTTGCTTTCCGTATGGAGAGATTTGTGAATCAGAGAGCTGGGAAATCTGATGCAAAATCCAGCATCTAGGATTTGGTGCCTTTTGTAAAAATTAATAAGGAAGCACCTAGTCCTTATGAAGGTGAAGACTGTCGGGACAGTTCTTGATGGATACGACTTTAGTGTTACCACTTGTGATCGTCCCCTGACCCCTTGTATAGAGAAGGGGCGTATGTTTGCTTTGGCTAAGATTAGATGAGTCTGGGGTTGCAGCTGGAGGGCTACATAGGCCCTTTGATCTCCCCACTCCCCTAATTAGAGTGGTACAGTGGTACCTTGGTTCCCAAATGTCTTGGTTCTCAAACACAAAGGACCCAGGAGTAACTGTTCCGGTTTTCGAACGTTTTTCGGAAGCCGAACATCCGCTGCGGCTGTCGGCTATTGTTTCCGGGGCGCCTGCACCAATCAGAAGCTGCGCCTTGGATTTTGAACATTTTGGAAGTCAAACGGACTTCCAGAACAGATTAAGTTTGACGCTTTTGTTTTTGTGATTTATTTTGTGTTTTTGTTTTCGAGGCTTTTTCTGTTCCATTTGTTTTTGTGACTATGTGGAACCCAGGTCAGCTGCTGATGGATTGTGCGACTGCCGAAATGGATAAAAGCCCCCCATCCAAACAATGACTATCATCAGTGCAGGTAAGAAAAAAATATATAAATTTTTATCACCTACAATACTGTCTTATTTATTTTATGGTGCAGTACATTGATTATTGCTTTCATTTAATGGATCAACAGTATCTTTAGATAGTAAAATTCATGTTCAGTTGCTGTTTCAGGGCTTGTTTTTAAAAGTCTGGAACGGATTAATCCCTTCTGCATTGCTTTCTATGGGAAAGCGCGCATTGGTTTTGGAACGCTTTGGTTTTGGAACGGACTTCCGGAACGGATTAAGTTTGAGAACCAAGGTACCACTGTAATTGAAACTTTGTTTAATCTGGCAACCGGCCTCCCTCCTCATGGCAAATCTTCTTCCTCCTCCCGTCCCCCCAGAGTGAAGGATAATTCTTCATGCCCCAAAACCGAGGGAGTTCTCCGAGTTTGGAGAGAGCGAATGAGAGAAGGGGAAGGAAAGAGGTTCTGGATCTTACAGCCTGCATAAACCAAAAATGGGAAGCAGAAGGGACTACAGTGGTACCTCGGGTTACATACGCTTCAGGTTACATACGCTTCAGGTTACAGACTCCGCTAACCCAGAAATAGTACCTCGGGTTAAGAACTTTGCTTCAGGATGAGAACAGAAATTGTGCTCCGGCGGCACGGCAGCAGCGGGAGGCCCCATTAGCTAAAGTGGTGCTTCAGGTTAAGAACAGTTTCAGGTTAAGAACGGACCTCCGGAACAAATTAAGTACTTAACCCGAGGTACCACTGTATTGGTTTATTTTCTATCTTTTTTTCTCACTCTCCTCCTATAAATTAAACTTTCTCAATAAACTATTAATATAAAAAACCCCGGCATGAATAAACGAATAGATGTTTAGGATAGGTGTGCCCTGCCTTTCACTGGATATATTATTGAATAGTTGTTGTTGTTTACTTGTCTCTGTTGTTGTTTTATCTTTCTGCAAACCGCCTTGAGGTTTGGGGGGGTTTTTTGTCTTACAATTGTGGTGTCTAAATTTTGTGAAAATATATTAGGAAGGATGGATGGTTATAGGTTTTTTTTTACAATTATGCGGCATAAAATTTTTGCGAAATTAATAATAAATAAAATCATAAATTTTTATTTATACCCCGCCCTTCCCAGTTCAGAAAACTGGTCTCAGGGCAGCTAACAACAACTTTAAAACACTTAATTGATGCAACAAAAAACAGCATAAAATACAGTATAAAACGTGAATGACAATAAATTCAGAATTCAAAAATTAATATAATCGTACGGAGGGATGGAAGAATGGATGGATGGACAGAGAGAGACCGACAGATGATGCATATAAATCTTGACTCTGCAACAGAACCGCTGTTAATCACGCCCATTGTTTCCAATGGGTCTACTCGGAGCAGGGCTAACACCTGCCTACAACCCATCGGGGCAGGGAGATAAATGAGCAGGAGCTGCGGGTGCGCAGCCCCAACATCAGCACCATTCTCCATCCTTTAAGCTTGGGCTTTGCAGCCGTCTGTGCGCGCTCAGAGGACCAGCGCTCTCCATCCCGGCAGGAGTCCGCCTGGGATCCGCGCGCCCCGGGCGCACGGCTGCAAAAGCAGGTTCTCGGGCCGAGAGCCTATCCTTTGAGCTGGGCTGGTTGCGGGGAGAAAGAGGGTCTGGATCCGAGCCGGGCCGGGAGCGCGCCTCCCTCCCTCCCTGCCTGCTTCCTGCCTACGGGCCCCGATCCCCGCCTCCCTCCCGGGTACCTGCTGCAGCCATGGCTCCGCTTCCCCCTCGCCGCTTCCTCTGCGCGTCACAGCGCGGAGGCTCCCGGCTGTCCCCGCCTCTCCCCGGGAGGAAAGGAGAACGGGAGAGAAAGGAAGACAAAGGAGAGGGGGAAGGAGGGAGGGAGGGAGAGCAGAAGAAGGGAATGAGAAAGGGGAGACAAAGGAGAGGAAGCGCAGGAGCAGGACCTTCGCGGGAGGGTCTTCAAATGATAGAATCCTAGAATTGCAAAGGACGCCCGAGGGTCATGTAGCCTCTGCCGCGCAGGAATTATAGAAGGCTAGGATTGTGAAGCTGGAAGGGAGTCTGTAACCTGAAGTGTATGTAACCTGAAGCGTATGTAACCTGAGGTACCACTGTAGAGCATCACAGCATTGTAGAGTTGGAAATCATCATCATCATCATCAGTGCTCCTTTTCTTTAAAAATGTTTAGGGGTACTCTCATTTTGACACAAGAAAATCAACATTTTAGCGATGATACAGTGGTACCTCGGGTTACAAAAGCTTCAGGTTACAGACGCTTCAGGTTACAGACTCCGCTAACCCAGAAATAGTACCTCGGGTTAAGAACTTTGCTTCAGGATGAGAACAGAAATCGTGCTCCGGCGGCAGCAGGAGGCCCCATTAGCTAAAGTGGTGCTTCAGGTTAAGAACAGTTTCAGGTTAAGAACGGACCTCCGGAACGAATTAAGTACTTAACCCGAGGTACCACTGTACATTCTTTATTATTGAGTTTCACTATTTATACAGTTAATCCATACATTTTCGAAGACATAATAAGCGACACACCATGATTCGTTGTCATTTAGTCGTGTCCGCCTCTTCGTGACCCCCTGGACCAGAGCACGCCAGGCACTCCTGTCTTTCACTGCCTCCCACAGTTTGGTCAGACTCATGCTGGTAGCTTCGAGAACACTGTCCCACCATCTCGTCCTCCGTCGTCCCCTTCTCCTTGTGCCCTCCATCTTTCCCAACATCAGGGTCTTTTCCAGGGAGTCTTCTCTTCTCATGAGGTGGCCAAAGTCTTGGAGCCTCAGCTTCAGGATCTGTCCTTCCAGTGAGCACGCAGGGCTGATTTCCTTCAGAATGGATTGGTTTGATCTTCTTGCAGTCCATGGGACTCTCAAGAGTCTCCTCCAGCACCAGAATTCAAAAGCATCCATTCTTCAGCGATCAGCCTTCTTGATGGTCCAGCTCTCACTTCCATACATCACTACTGGGAAAACCATAGCTTTAACTATACGGACCTTTGTCAGCCAGGTGGTGTCTCTGCTTTTTAAGATGCTGACACACTGTGATCCCGAAATAATTTAACACCAGATGATACTGCTACATTTAAGTCTTAAATTGTTTAATGGCGGCTCCTTAGTTCTTCCTTATCTTTTTTACTGCGTTCTCCCTCCCCCCCTTTTAATTCATTGGTCTTTCATAATATACAATATCTACCTATTATCTACTTTGTGAAAATTAGTCAAGGCATATTAAGGGTTTTTGTTTGGCAACAATGTTTTTATGTTTTTCCAAATACAACTCGGTAACAATGCCACTCGTTTTTGAATTTTTGGTTTGGTTGGTTCCTGATCGCCTCTGTCATTTTTGCTAATTCTAGGTAACCGCCCCGACTTGACCACAGTGATCCATACGACGGTCACCTCCAGGCTTGACTACTGCAATTTGCTCTAAGCGGGGCTGCCCTTGAAGCTGTCCCAGAAACTCCAGCGGGTGCAGAATGCTGCAGTGAGGCTCCTTACGGGGTCTCTGCCATGGGAGCATATTCACCCAGTGCTTTTCCAGTTGCACTGGCTCCCAGTGGAGTACAGGGTCAGATCTAAGGTGCTGGTTTTGACCTTTAAAGCCCTTCACGGCCTAGGACCCTCGTACCTACGGGACCGCCTCTCCTGGTATGCCCCACAGAGAACCTCAAGGTCCACAAATAGCAACATCCTAGAGGTCCTAGGCCCTAAGAAGGTCAGATTAGCCTCAACCAGAGCCAGGGCCTTTTCAACACTGGCTCCGGCCTGGTGGAACGCTCTGCCTCATGAGACCAGGGCCCTGCAGGATCTGATTTCTTTCCGCAGGGCCTGTAAAACAGAGTTGTTCTGCCTGGCCTTTGGCTTGGAGCCAATTTGATTCCCTCCCCTTCTTTCTTTTTTCCTTTCTCCTCCTGTGATGAGGCTGCATTTTAATATTTTAATGTTTCAATATTTTAATCTTGTATTTTAATCTTGTTTTTAAGTTGTATTCATTCAACTTGTTTTTATTATTTCTTGTTAGCCGCCCTGAGCCCAGCCTTGGCTGGGGAGGGCGGGGTATAAATAAAAAAATATTATTATTATTATTATTAGGTATTCACATAATTTCATTTGCCATTCTTCCTTTGTGGGGTTTTCCTCTCCTTTCCAGTTTTTAGCAACTAGCATTCTCACTGCTGTTGTAGCATGTAAGAAAACCCTCCTCTTATAATTTGGTACATCAAATTTCAGAATGCCTGGAAGAAAGACTTCCAGCTTTTTCACAAATGTTGGTTTAGTCCGTAAGTGACTGTGGAGGCCAATTCTGGATCCACACATCCTTCTACAGTGGGGACATAAATTCCTGGGTGGGAGTTGATGACGATGTGGATTTGCCAAGTGTACCTTCCTTCTCCCTATTGTCTTGAGTGCGAGTGTCTCAAAAGCCTGGCTGCCCGGTATTTAACGTAATCTATCTTGTCGTTGGTTTTAAGTTGCAAATTTAAACAGTCAAATGTATAATTATTTCTGTGCTTCCATGCAAAGGAAATGCAATTTTAACAGGGCCAAAAAACTGCATATCACCAACTGCATATCATTTGTGCCCTGAAAATGTTCTTCTTCATCATCATCTTCTTCATCTTCTTTTTCCTCTTCTTCTTCTTCATCATCATCATCTTCTTCTTCATCTCCTCCTCCTCCTCCTCCTCCTCCTTCTCCTTCTCCTTCTCCTTCTCCTATCCCTCATAGCCGAGTGAGATTGTCTTCCACAAACATGGTTTTAACAGTGAGTCTGTAAGTGACTGTGGAGGCCAATTTTGGATCCACACGTTCTTCCACAGTGGGGACACAGGTTTCCGGGAGGGAGTTGATCCTGGTGTGGATTTGCCAAGCGTGCCTTCCTCTTAGCACATTTCTCCCTATTGTCCTGAGTGCGAGTGTCTCCAAAGCCCACAACACCTTTGGTAAAGGCTGTTCTCCAACTGGAGCGCTCGCAGGCTAGTGTTTCCCAGTTGTCAGTGTTTATACCACATTTTTAAAGATTTGCTTTGAGAGAGTCTTTGAACCTCTTTTGTTGACCACCAGCATTACGCTTCCCACTTTTAAATTCAGAATAGAGAAGTTGCTTTGGAAGACGATCATCAGGCATCCGTACGACATGACCAGTCCAACCAAGCTGATGTTGAAGAATCATTGCTTTGACATGGGTGATCTTTGCTTCTTTCCAGTATACTGGCATCGGTTCGCCTGTCTTCCCAAGTGATGTGTAGAATTTTTCGGAGACACCATTGATGGAATCATTCGAGAGTTGGAGATGGATGTAAAATGGGTAGTTCTGCTTTGAGTCATTACTATTTGGCTAGCATTCTCCCCCTCATCAGAGCATAAGATGCTTGCAGCTGAATCGGAGAAACGTTGGTGGGTTTGTGAAAAAGTGTTTTCGTTGTTGTTGTTGTTGTTGTTGTTGTTGTTGTTGTTGTTGAGTCGTTTAGTTGTGTCCGCCTCTTCGTGACCCCCTGGACCAGAGCACGCCAGGCACTCCTGTCTTCCACTGCCTCCCACAGTTTGGTCAGACTCATGTTTGTAGCTTCGAGAACACTGTCTCACCATCTCGTCCTCCGTCGTCCCCTTCTCCTTGTGCCCTCCATCTTTCCCAAAATCAGGGTCTTTTCCAGGGAGTCTTCTCTTCTCATGAGGTGGCCAAAGTCTTGGAGCCTTAGCTTCAGGATCTGTCCTTCCAGTGAGCACTCAGGGCTGATTTCCTTCCTAATGGAGAGGTTTGATCTTCTTGCAGTCCATGGGACTCTCAAGAGTCTCCTCCAGCACCAGAATTCAAAAGCATCCATTCTTTGGCGATCAGCCTTCTTTATGGTCCAGCTCTCACTTCCATACATCACTAGTGTTTTCTATAGTCTCTCCTGAATATTCAGGCAAAAGACTTTAGGGGGCACGATATATAATGAAATCAAGAAGATTTGTGAAATGGCTTTCCCCAAGAGGCCACAAATCCTTCCTGCTCTCTCAACAGTCCAGTGGCCTTACTTCTGCATTCCTATGCAGCAGGTCTACCAGGAAATGCAGCTAACCGCTCTCCGACTCTAGAGGAAATCCACCTTAAGCCTCTTTGGCTAGGCGCCAAATTCCATCTACTATCTGTGTCAGATTTGTGCAGGAGCTTGTGAGTTTAATGCCCTTATACTTTATAACCGGAGTCAGTAAACTCTTGTGCCAAGTTCCTCATTCTGCTGGGTCGCAGGCCATACATTCAAAGTGCACAGCTTCGTCCAAAGAATCGCTGGAAACTGTAGTTTGCTCCCAGCATCCTTGATAAATGACAGCCCACAGGATTCTTGGTGGGTGGGCGCAGGATTCAGGTTTGATGAGGCCCTAAGCTCCTGAAGGTAATGGGGCCCTTTATATGTCCAGCTGTCCTTTGTCCACAACAATTTGTCGCTGTTTTTTGTGTTGAATATATGCTAGATAGGGACGTGGGAGGTGCTGTGGGTTAACCCACAGAGCCTTGGGCTTGCCGATCAGAAGGTCGGCGTTTCGAATCCCCGTGATGGGGTGAGCTCCCGTTGCTTGGTCCCTGCTCCTGCCAACCTAGCAGTTTGAAAGCACCTTCTCTGGTGGGAAGGTAAACGGTGTTTCCGTGCGCTGCTCTGGTTCGCCAGAAGCAGCTTGGTCATGCTGGCCACATGACCCGGAAGCTGTCTGTGGACAAACGCCGTCTCCCTCGGCCAATAAAGCGAGTTGAGCGTCGCAACCCCAGAGTCGG